AAACTGAGGCACAGGAAAATTAAGTACTTTGCCTGGGGTTACACAGCCAAGAGATAGCAGATCCAGGATTTGAACCACACCCAGAAAGAACTCTCAGCTCTCAGCAGAAAAGAGGCCTGTTTGGGTTTGGAAAAGAGCATTTCCCACTGAAATGACCTCCTCCAGGCATAGTGCCAGGCACTATTCAAGTCTTTGACAGAGGGAGGAGTATTTGGGGTGCACTGTTATTGGACCCTTATATCCACTCAGAGTGAAATAAGATAAGCCAACAAGCCTCTGGTTTCCATGTTTAAGGACTTTGATCCACTAGGTGGGTGCCCTCTCTCCTTCCAGAGATTGTCAGGTCTCAACTCCTCAAGCATCTCAATGCTGTCCCCCACTGGTCAAAGCTCTAAGTGGAACACTTGCCTGCCATCACCCCTTTCTAGATTTCTCTATCTGTCCTTTAACATTGTTCCCCCCCCCCCCAAATATATGACTTCAGCATCATTTCCCTCTTCCAAATTCATTATTCATTGAAAAATTTGCCACCTGGTTCATACTTTCTCTGCTTCTTGGATGAGTCAGACATCTATCCACAAAATCAACCCATCCAAAACCTTGGCTTCACAGTTCCTCGACATCCTCATCTGCCCCTCAGCCACCCTGGACCTTGTCACCAAGATGCTCTTGTGGTGCTCTGCAATTCTTCATGGCTATCGTGGACAACTGAGCTAAATTGGACAACTGAGCTCCAATTTTGTGTTGATTCTATTGATGTCTGACACCCTGGTAGAAGGTGAGCTTCAGGGGGGAAGAATCAATTCTGCCTTGTCCATTATTGTGCCCCCAGCACCATGAAAGGTGCCTAACATATAGTAGGACCTTAGTCAATGTTAAAGTTACTTTTGGGTGCCACAGGGCTCTACCAAGTACTGGCTACTATGAGGTGCTATAGCACTACAGAGAAGGTGAAGGGGTAACAGGGAGAAAAGCTTACTTGCTTTGAAAGGGGGCTTCTGCAGAGAGAGGCAAAAAGCAGTTTGGCAGTCCCTGGAGGTTTATTTCAACAATAAATAGGTGTTACTGGAGCCTGAAGGACACGGGAGTTGTATGGGATCCAGTGCGCCACCTGGGGTGAGGGCGGCCCCAGCAGGGTAAAATGGTTTAAAGGAGGAAAGAGATGAAATCTAGAATGTGGAAGTTCATGGATGTTTGGTGGTCAAAAGAGAATGCAGCACAGACAGGTTCCAGGGGGTGTTACCTGTTCATTCTTACAGATCTATTGATTTCAAAATTTTACTCCCACATATGTCTCTCAAAATAGAAAGCTCTGGTTTTAGTAAGATCCCAATCCAATGCAACACCCCAAGACAGGGTGCACACTTTGTATAATGGAGAACAGAAATGGGAATGCTGCTGATCACAGGACTGAGCTCCTGACAGCCTGAGGTCCCGACTCCATGGATGGAAGTCAAGTGGTTTGTGCAGGGGCTGAGCCAAAAAGGTCTCCCAAGTCCTACCCAGGATAAATCAGTGGTGGCCCTGAGAAGGTGATAAGGAAACTCCCAGTGAACTTCTCTTTTCAGTGAGGATTATTAGTTGAAAAACACTGAAGTATTCTTCCACTTAAATTGCTAAATAAGAAGCTGGAATCTCACCACACACCCAGCACAATGATCCATACATTATTCGTTCATTCATTTGGCAATTATTTGCTCAGTGTCTAATGCACCCAGGCACTGTGCCAAGCTGTGATACCCTGAATATAAAGAATATTCCCTTTGGCCCAGAACTCAGAGCCCAATGGAAATGGCTTTTAGACATTACTGAGAAGAGTTATGGGTCGCATAGCCCAGAGTTCAAGAGGCCCAAGCTATCTTCTTTAAAATAAATTTCATTAGGTTTTTCCTTTTATAAAAGACAAATGTATTTATTGCATCTAAAAATACAGAAGTGTGCATGTATAAATATGTAACAACAAATTCCACCATTATTTACAATTAAAATTCACCAATAAAAAATATGGAAAAATAAAAAAATCTAAAAAATTAAAATACAGAAAAGTAGAGGCAAGAAAGAAATGCCCATTGTCAAACAAGCAGACTACCATATCATTCATATATATGTGCATATATATGTATATATACATATATGTCCATAAATACATACATATGCATATATAATTTTGAGTTTTTAATTTCTATGACCATAAGCATACTATATATACCAAAATGGCCTATTTTTTCACTAACTATATACATATATATATATCATTGTATGCATTTCCTTTATTTTTAATGTTTAAGAACATCACTTTAATGACACACACTATTTCATGGAATTGATGTATTTTATTCAGTCATGCTTTGAGTATAACACTTCATTAATTTTCATTTATCACTTAAAGAACATCTTTGTACATAAAATTTAGCTTAAGGGTTGGGGTGCAGCTCAGTGGTAGAGCACTTACTAAGCATGTTCCACTTGATCCAGAATTTAAATTTGAGGGTCAAAGGAGGAAGAAGAGAAAAGAGAATATTTGGGGGAACTCTTGCTATTCTTGTTCACCCCAACATACAGCACAACTCATTGGATTTAAGAGGACCACACCTTTGTAGTGGGCACATTTTACTGCCTGCCCTGCCTAGAGTTTCTGCAGGAACTGCCACACCCACTGACTCTGGAAGGGGCAGCCCTCTGTGGCCAATAGCTCTGTCCTTCATGTAGATGGCCAAGTTGATTGGATCAGGTTTGAACACATGATCTCCTTTGGCTGGCTAGAAACCAATGTATTCCTATCTTACCAATAATTGAACAAGAGACCCAGAGACCACAGGAAATAGGTGGTGGATACTTAAGAAGAAAACATAGTAAGTCAAAGTTAAGATGGTCAGCCTAGGTCATGCAGAATATATGTGAGCAGAAGAGGTTGACCAGGAGGAAAACGAAAAGGGAATATGTGCCTAGGAAAACAGTGAGAGAGAAAGAGGCCTTTGTTTCTACCAGCATTCTGGCTCCTACCCTGGCCCAGCTGTTTTCTGCCATGCTTTCCCCCACTAAATAAATCCCACTTAACATCTGATTTAGCTTGAGTAGTGTTTGTTCTCTTTAATCAAAAGATCCCTGATTGATTGATAAATAAATAAATATTTGTTTTTAAAAAATCCCTGATAAAGCAAGTAGAATCTCAGGACTTCTTGGAGTTGCAGAATATTAGAACTGGAAAGTCATTGCTCCTGTTCCCTACTTCCATTCTCTGTTCAGCAGCAGCAGCTGTAGGGAACTTAGGGTTGACCCAGCCTAGTTCCAGGAGAAGTCCACAACCAATCAGGAGAACCCACTCAACTTGCTCCAGTGATAGGTCCTACCTCCTAACCAAAATGGGTTCAAGAATAGTCATTAGACCTAATATGGCCCAGTCAGAGCAAATAGTCTTTGTCTGTATACTGTACAGGAGGAGGAAAAGAAGAGGAAAGAACTCCCTTCAATACTATAAAAGGAGTGAATATGTCCTGAGAAAATTTTTTAAATAAGAAAAGGATGAAATAAATTAAAATAGCCTCATTGGGAACTAGGGCAATACCAAAGAAAATCAATGAGATACCATTTTTCATTTATTGGATTGGCAATTTTTCCCTCATGATCAAGTGTTGATAAAATTTTAGGAAAACAATATTTTAATAATGCAATTGGGACTACAATCATTACAGCTTCTATGGAGCACAAGTTTATTGCATCAACCATCAGTGGTTCCTCAATATCTGCCTTGAGAAACCTTCTGTACACATTCCCAGGGAGTCAAGGCTGTTCACATCTTTGTTTTGTTTTTGTGGTGCTGGGAATTGAACTGAGGGCCTCAGACATGCTCTTCCACTGAGCTATATCCCTACCCTCAAGGCTGTTCACTGAAAATTTGCAATGGATTGCAAGTGGAAAGTACCCAAATATCCATAAGAAAATGAATAAATGTATAAATAAGTAAAACATACATAAAACAGAAAGTCATATATAGCTATATAAATATATAGCCATGTGTTAGAATATTTATTATAATAATTTTAATATTTACTATAAAGGTAATAGCTACAACAATAATTGTATTATTGTAAATATTATATGTACATATAATAAAATCACACTATGGACTATCATGCTGTAGTTAAAAGAATGAAGTAGATCTAGGTGTCATAACAGGACATCTTGAGAGGAAAATGCAAGTTGCAGAAAGAATGAACAGTCCAGTATCATTTATGCTTTTTAAAAGCCACTCACACAAAACAGGGATTCTCATCTGTGTGATTCATTATATGCATGTTAATACAAAGGAAAAGCCACAAATGGAGTGATGGTCAATAGGGACATAGTTTACTCTTACATAAAAATAAAATTTTGCATAAGACTGCAGTATTTCCAAAAACAATGGAAAACACACAAAGAAGCAAAAGAAATAACCTCCAATCTCGCCTCTGCTAGCCCTCTGGAGCTCTGGAGTTCTCCTTCAGAACTCTTCCTTTCCGTTGTTTTTGAAATGATCAAGGCTACTGCTAGGGGCCACTCAAAGCTTGTGGCCATCAGCTGCCCTTCTGCCCACGAGGGATTCTGGCACCATTCAACCCAGCAGAACTCCTAATCCAAATAGCACCTTGACTCTGCAAAGGTCAAGGAGCCCACCTACCATTTGTGATTCAGAATACAAAAACACTAAACAAAGTTCTGAATTTTCCCATGAGGACTTCAATGCTTCTTTTTCAGCAGTGAATATCAAAATCTTTCCAAACAAATGCTTCCCACCTCCTTTTCTTAGTTTGAGTATTTGTTTTGTTTTGCTTTGCTTTGCTTTGTTCTGTCTGGTTTTTTTATGTTCCTGCTTCTCAGTGCCCTAAACCCACACACAGTCTGCTTCTTGATTAATCCTGCACTGCTCCTTTCCCCACCCCCTAAGAAGACTTGTTTGCAAAGACACACCCAGTTTGCTGCCCCCACCCACCCCACATCTATTCCTCCTGTCTCAGTCTTACCATTGTGTCCAGGGCAAGCTGCAGAACAATGAATTCTTAGCAGATGATGGTGTTGCCCTGTCTCCACGTTCTGAGCCAACCCCAGTTATGCACGGCATCCGGGAGTCAGCATTTTGTAGGCTTCTGTGACATTTGAGAGCTCACATCCCACTTCTTGCAGCATTTGGAGAAGGGAAGGGACAGAGAGCTGCTCTTGTCACCACCAATGAGCTCATCCTTCTCTGAGAGGCAATAAGAGAGATAAATCTGACCCCATGAATCAGGAAACCTAACCTCATGAAAATCCCCAACTGCCTGACCCATTGGCTGACCTTTCCAGAAAAAGGAAAAGTAGACAAAGTCCTCCTCCCCAGAATGAAATAATTCATTGAACAAGGAAAGACTTTTTTTTTACTGGAACAAGCCCTTCACACCATCCACCTAAAGCCTTAGATTTCTATAAGCCTTCCAAAGTCACATTTTCTTTTCAGCCCTCTTGGGTCTGAAGTCACACATTTCTGGGAGCTTTTCCCAACTTCAACACTGCTACAGTGTAACCATGTCCAAGTCACTTAACCACTCTGAGTTTGGGTTTCTCAACCTGTAAGCTGCCAACATTATTTCCTTTTCTTTTGCATTGCTAAGAGGGTTCACTTTGTCAGCCTAGTACAAAATGCCCTTCAGCATTACTCACTATCTCAAAATAGTGGCCGCCCAACTCATAAATAAGTGGAGCCACAGGATTCTGTTTGAGCTCTCCGTGACTGCACTGTTCTTTGGGAGGCCAAGCCCAGGAAGGGACAATATAATGTAACAGCACAGGTTCCAGAGAGTTCGACTGGGTTTACACTTTCTTTTCTTTACTCCAACTTACTGGTGACCAAATGATGAGCAACTTCTCAAATTCCCCAAATCCTAGTACTTTCCAATTAAAAGTAAGGAATTGGAGATATTAATGCCAAAGAAAAAAATGCATATAATGCCCTTAGCACTATGCTTTTGATAAGACTTTGATTCTGATAAGATCTTAGCTATTCTTATGTTGGTGGTTATTCTAGGAACACTCTGAGTACACTGCTAGAGGACAGAATCATTAGATGCATCTACGATAAGATCACACATTCCCCGGGAGAAGTGTCAGGCTGGGGAAGGCTGTCAAAATTGATATAGCAGGCAGTGAGGGATCAACAAGGGCTCCTCAAATTACAAGTGACAGATGTTCAACTCAATTTTCACAAATTTTAAGGAAAGGGGGCTGTTAGCCCTTATGGCAGACTTGGAGTTGGCCTTGAGCATGACCGACTTAAAATATCCCCATCTATTAAGGCTAACTCCTTCCCTTCGTACTGATTCTCTCTGTGGATTAGTCTCATGAGTACTTTTTACAGATGATTTCCTCTATGCAGCAAGAGGGGAAAAATAGATCTTTAAGCCAGGAGAAAATTCTCATTGGCCTTCTTTCGATCATATGCCCATCCTTGGACCAATAACCTTGGTCAAATGAATGTGTAACAGTGGTCCCTGGTCCCTTCTTCACCTTCTGAAATGTAGCCCTCATTGCTCTACGGCTTATTTTTATTAAAAAAAAAGAGGGGGTTCTCTCTTCTCCCCTCTCCCCATTTCTAACAAGATTAGGGAGACAGTGCTATCTTTTCTTGCCCTAGTTAATTGCCCTTAAACACACCCACTAAGGAAGGAGATGCCCCCTGAGGATTTGAGAAGTGAATCTCTCCCAAATTAACAAATGAATCCTAACTCTCCATCAGGGTGCCCTGGGACCCCCACCAGAGCAAACCTGGAATATAATAACCTTTGAAGGTTTCCTTTAAAACCCCCCTGTCCCTCCTGATTGAGAGAGTCACAGCCTTTGGGACAGGAGTCCCCTGTGTTTCTCCTTTGCTAACAAAGCAATAAAACTTCTTTTTCCTTTTTCTCAAAACCATGTCCTCATTATAAAATTAACATTGATTGGCATTGGGGACAGGGACTGAGCTTTCAGTTACAAATGCAGTGTCCTGATCAGCCAAGCCTAGGCTACTGCAGTCCTTAGAGTGTTCTTCCTACCAGAACCGCACAGAGTGAGAGTTGGTCAGTTCCACCAAGGAGCAGTGGCTACCAAAGAGGAGCACTGCAAATTGGTAAGGGGTACTGACACATGATCAGATGCCCTCTTGGCAACATCTATTTCCTTTCTTTTTCTCCATATTCAAGGTTCAGCTTTATTACTCAACACATTTCCAATCCTTAGAACACTAATTGCTAATTAAAACTAATTAAAAATCTATTAATATATAATATCTAATGTAATACTTAACTGTAGTAGTCCTAGGGAAAAAATCATCTCCAAGTTAAGAATGTAAAAAGTATATTATATATTATTAAATATCATTTACTTTCTAATTCCACAGTCATCAATAAGAAAAATCAGTTCTTTAAATTTTTCTGTTAAATCTACAAATGTTTTCTGTTTTCTACAATGGGGAAGGAGTGAAAAATCCCCACTGCTTTTCCCCACTCTGTATGCTTGTGATGCATGCTGGAGTTACTTGTGCAAAATTTTTAAAGTCATAGATCACTTGTTCATCAAAATGCATCTCTTGGTCGAGAGAATTGAAGGAGACATGTTGTGGGAGAAGGCTCAGGCTCAGAAGCTTATTCTGGGTTCCTGGAACTCCTTGAGCAACTTGGTGTCTTTGCTGAGTTTTTTCTGGAAGTTTTCAGCCTCTTCAGAGTAAAAAAAAGTTTAACTGGAGCACCAAAAATATATTACTATTTTAGTTATAGGACTGCTGTATTTCTATAACCTCTCTTTCTTTTGATGTGTGGAGGGTTCTACTCTGACCTTCCTCGTTGGGAGATAACATTTCCAACTCTTACAGGATTCTAGAATGCCCTCCTTTTAACAGAATATCCAATAAATGATCTACCATGATATATAGGTAAATGTGGCATGTTACAAAAGAAAAACAGAAATAAAACCTGTATGTTGAAAGTACTAAGAAGGGCAGATTCTTCCTCATAAATTCAATTAATTAAACTTGAACCATCTTGGCTAATAATTGTTATTGCACACTGTGTGAGAATAGTAGGGTCCGTAATTCAAACAACACACTGGAACAATAGGATTACTTTGATCTTTTTAGAACCTCTGCAAGCTATTCACTCCAGCCTGGCGCCATTTAGTTGTTGTCCCCAGTCTTACAAGACAGTGACCTGAGTCTCCCACCATAGGATGTCCAGAAAGGAGAAGTCTCCGTGTCGTTGGCCATCTGGTCTTCTTCTTTCAAACTCAACTGACCATACAACCTGCTGGTCAGCCTTCCTTCAGATCCCATAAATACAGAGCCAGACTGACCCTGTCCTTTCTAACATCTTGCTTTTACATTTATTTTAGAGCACATCTCTCTCTGACTTCTGTTTACTTTCCTTAGTGGGAATTTGAAGACTTTGGTATCAGTATCTACAGGGTCTTCATTCTTCTTTGGCCTATAGCCATGGTCCTCCCATTTCTGCCAATTTATCTTTCTGCTCTCCAGTCTTTTGTGAGTCTGCCATGAAGACTAGCCACTGATTCAAGCTCCAAGTTTGGTCCAGGCAAAGAGTTTGCCAGCCTTCCTGCAGCAGCCTCTTTGCAACCTTATAATAATGCTGTTTGTTATATAGCATGGAATTTTGGTACATGTTACTTCTAAATCATTCTTTAGTGGTTCTGTAGACTGTCAGTCATTAATCTAGATATTCCCTTTAAATATTAAAATCACTATTGTTTAATCATTACAAGGTAGTGAGGAGTCACAGAGAATGAACAGAAAGCTGTTGGGTCCATTCTCTGCAATTGCCTCATCTGTTGATTCAAATCTTCTGGAAGGGTTGCCTGTTGTCTTTCTTGCTTATCTAAAGACCTTTAAGAAAGCTACTCAGATATAAAAATCCCAAACTTATACATGCATGACTTCAAAAGCATTCTGCTTCATCCTCCAAAAGATCTTGATCTTGCTGCTTCTTATCCACCTTTACTCTTCTTTGTTTTTCCCTTTCTCATTATCTGGGAACTACTTTTTCCATTATTGCTTGTCATGTTCATTTTTGTCCTCAGATAGCCTTAAATTGTGTCCTGACTTACATACTGAATTAGGGTGGACACTAAATCCAATTACTAGCATCTCTATAAAAACAGGAGAGGACCAGAGACATGAATCCAGTGGAGAATGCCATAGGAAGACAGAGGTAGGAACAGGAGTAATGTAGCCACTAACCAAGGATACCAGAGACTGTCACAACCAGAAGCTAAGAGATAGAGATTAATCAGATTCTCCTTCAAGGCCTCCTGAAGGTCAACCCTAACCTTGTCTTGATGTCTGACTCCTGACTTCCAGAACTCTTGTTTTAAGCACCCATCCTCACCCCAAAAGAGAAAAATTCAACAGGTATTGACTGTGATGATGACTGCACAACTCTGTGTATTGTACACTTTGTGTGTGTGTGTGTGTGTGTGTGTGTGTGTGTGTGTGTGTGTGTATGGTGCTGGGGATTGAACCCAGGTCTTTGTGCATATGAGGCAAGTACTCTACCAACTGAGCTATATCCCAAATTGGACACTTTAAACGTGTGAACCATGTGGTATGTGAATTGTATCTCAATATAGCTCTGATCTTTAAAACAATGCATCCTGACCTGTCAGGAGCCTCATTTCCTCCCAATTTCAAGACCAGCTTCAGAGGCTCATCAATATATTCCTTGCAGAGGTGTTTGTCCTATTCATACTTCTTGGGCTTCTTGCCCACATTGGTCCCAGTCCATGGACCTTCTCTTGATCCAGGGTTGAGGGTGGAACTGGCTCACACAGTTTGGGGGCTGGCAACTGCAAAATCTGTGGGACAAGCCAGCAATCTGAAAATTCTAACAGGAGCTGAAGTTGTGGTCTTGAATCCAAAGGTAGTCTGGAGGCAGAATTTATCCTTTTCAAGTGACTTCAGTCTTTTCTCTTAAGGAGATCAACTGATTGGGTGAGAAATACATTGTGGAGAGAAATCTCTGTTTTCAAAGTCTACTTATTTAAGTGTTAACCTCATCTTTAATACCTTTCCAGCCTCATGCAAACACTATTCTAATCTCTATTTCTATAAAATCAAATTTGATGTTTTCCTATATGAGCAAGGACATATAGTATTTGTGTTTCTGTGCCTGGCTCATTTCACTTAACATAATATTATCTAGCTTAT